TCCGCTTCTCGCGGCGTGAGCGCACTTCGGCCCGCGCCCCCGCCCCCGCCCCCGCCCCCGTCCTGCCCGGCTCCCTGAGGCTTTCCCGCGGGCTGTGGTCCGGGGTCGTGGCCGCGAGGGCAGCTCCGCGACTGGGAGGGGAGGCCGCGGCCCGGAGCGCGCAGGACCCCGGGTCACGCTGCCCCATCTCAGACTCGCGTGGGGACCCAAGGTAAGGGTCCCGGCCTGTTGTGGGGGAGGAGGCGAGGACGGAAGCTTTCCTTCGCTCCCAGGGCTGTTTCCCTTTAGAGTTGGATGGCGCCGACCGGGAAGGGCGCGATCGATCGATCGATGAGGCTTCCTTTGGTGAAAACTTTTTCACTCTGCGCAGGAGAGAGACAGCTACAGGCGGAGCACCCTCTCTTCTGATTGATCCCCGGGGTAGCCCTCTCGGTGGTCCCGGAAGGGGGTCAGGGCTGGACACGGGGTAACCCCCACCCGCAAGCCCACCTTCTCCCACGCTTGTCTTCAGGGGGGTCCCCGAGGCTCTAGCGGCCGCTCAATCGCATCCCTGCCTCGACCTCCTCGTGCTCCAGACAGCCCTCCAGGGCCGAGGGCACAGGGCCTGGCCCGAGTGGACAAAGCAGCACTCAGTTCAGGGAGCGCGCGTCTGGCCTGGGCTGCTGCTCGGTGTCCTGGGCAGGGAGGTGAGAAGGACTGCGGACCCTGGGCTCCTGGGCGCTGCCCTCACCCGGGGGAGGGAGAGGAGACACTCGGTGGCTGCAGTGCTGAGTTACTGGTCCCCAGCTCGGGACAGCCGTGGAGCACCCACTCACCCATGGAGCACCGCACCCCGCCCCCAGCCTCACTAGTTCCTGGTCATTTTCCAAAAAGTCCAGGTAGGGCACCAGCTCTCAAGGCCTCAGAGCCTGAAGCCAAGGGTCAGATGCACCGCCCCTCCCGGCTGCGCCCAGCACACCTCCTGACCTAGCCTGGAGGGCCCTGACCCCAAAACCAGGCCTCTGCAGCTTGCTGGGACCCTGAACAGGGCCTCCAGGCCTCAGCACCCAGCTTGGGGGTGAAGACTGGAGAGGGGGGCCCTCCCCGGCCCTGCCCCTGGCTCCTCCTTTCTCCTCAAGCAGAGAGGGCCCTGGGCTTGGACCCCCTGCCTTAGCTTTGTGGGGGACTCAGGAGCTCCCCCAGGGAAGCAGAAAGTGATGGTGACGTGATGGTGATCTAGGGACCCTCCCCCACCCGGAACCCGCGGGGCGTGGGCCAGCTTGCTCACATCGGCTGCAGTGGGAGCCTGAGACAACTGCAGGTGCTCTGCCTGAGGGGAGGGCCCCGTGGGCAGAGCAGGGCAGGTGAGAGTGCGGGGAGGGGGGGCGGAGTGAGAAGGGGGTTCGGGGAGGGGAGCCCCATGCCCTCCATGCCTTAGAGATGCCCGTGGAAGTCATGCGGCAGCACCCTGGGTGCGGACGCGCTTTCTTCCCGCGATTTGAGATCACAAACTTTGCGACAATCACTGCCCTGAAACAGACGCTTTCTGCACACGCACAAAGTGTGTGTGTGTGTGTGGGGGGGGGGACCCGTCTGGGTCGCCGGGATCAGCCTCCTGGGCGTTCAGGTCGCCTCCGGGGGCGCGCAGCTGCGGGCGGGCGGCGACCGCCACCTGCCGGCCGCGTGGAGTACCGTTCCCCTCGGTTCCTCTTCCCTTTCAGGAATGTCCCGAGGGGTCTTGCCTTTGAAAGTACAGCAAGAACTCTCCATTTTAAAAAGTTTTCTGTCCTCTTCGTGCCCTTGGATCGTCTTCTCTCTTTCTTTATTCCTCCCCCCCTTTTTAAAAAAAATATATTTTATTGATTTTTTACAGAGAGGAAGGGAGAGGGATAGAGAGTTAGAAGCATTGATGAGAGAGAAACATCAATCAGCTGCCTCCAGCACACTCCCTACTGGGGATGTGCCCACAACCAAGGTACATGCCCTTGACCGGAATCGAACCTGGGACCCTTCAGTCCGCAGGCCGACGCTCTAGCCACTGAGCCAAACCGGCCAGGGCCATCTTCTCTCTTTCTTATCAATTGGTGTTTGCCTCAGCCTTTTGCAAGTTGCAAAGAGTTCCGGTTTCTGGCCTCTGGCGTTGCCTGTGACGGTTCAGCCAGACAAAGATGCCTGGCTTTGGGCTCTGTCCTTCCTGGATTTGGGGTTCAGGTGTGTAGGAGGTCTTCCCAGTCCGGAGGCCCAAGAGCAAATGTCCTCCGGGCCCCAGTACTCGAGCGGTTCGTTTCATTTGTTTATCTGTTTATTCTGCACCTAAGTTTGGGTCCCAGAGAAAGGCAGGTGAGACTCCAGCCTGAACAGAGGTCTGGCTGGCAGTCTGAACTCACCCCTCCCTTGGGCAACGCGGCCATGTGTCCAGGCCCTGGCCTTCGACCCTGGGGAGTGTGTGTGTGTGTGTGTGTGTGTGTTGGGGGGAGGGGTCCTTTCCCACACCCGCTGCCCAGCCGCACGGCCCTGGGTGCGCACGTCTCAGCCCCCCTTCTCGGGGTCCTTATCTGTGAGTTGGGGTTGACAATACCGCCTGACTGGTCGGGCTGAGTAAGGATTGCCTGTGAAAACACACGTGCCCTTGCCCTAACCGGTTTGGCTCAGTGGCTAGAGCGTCGGCCTGCGGACTGAAGGGTCCCAGGTTCGATTCCGGTCAAGGGCATGTACCTTGGTTGCGGGCACATCCCCAGTGGGGGGTGTGCAAGAGGCAGATGATTGATGTTTCTCTCTCATCAGTGTTTCTAACTCTCTATCCCTCTCCCTTCCTCTCTGTAAAAGATCAATAAAGTATATTAAAAAAAAAGAAAAAAGAAAACACACGTGCCCGGTACTTAGCAAGCACTGCAGTGATGCTGTTCATTGAACTTGAGAGGATTACAGACGGAATAGACTGAGAAGAGGGAGGTGAACTGGAACAATGCACTCTGTGGGTTGGGGCAGGCAGGCTCCCTTCCCGACTCTGGTTCCGGAAGGAAGCCTGGCAGACGGGCACCCTGGGAGGGAAAAGGGAGACCCAGAGGAACCATTCACCAGGTCGCCCACACCGCCGCCGCCGCGGCCTGGGGGTGCTGAGCCCTGCCCAGGTGAGCAGGGCGCCCCCCAGCTGTTAAGGGCAGAGACTGCCATTGTCCCCAATATCCATTCTTCCTTTCTTTCTTAGTGATTTCACCACTACCTTGCCTGGGTAGGTCGCCTGAAAAACTACACATCCCAGCTTCCCTTGCAGCTGTGTGCTTGCCAAGTTCTGGCCGATGGGATGCCAGTGGTAGATGCATCTCCCAACTCCTCCTTCTGGAGTCCCCTGTGGAGGAACCAGCCCTGGACCACCTCTACCTGAGAGAAGACCCAGCCTCTGTCTTTTTTCAGACACTTTTATTGGGAGGTTTTCTGACACTGTCCGTGGGGCTTGATCCTCCCTAACACAGCGTCTCGCTCTCAGATTGCAACAGGGAAAGAAGGCTCGCCAGACGTTTGAGGAAAGCTTCCGCCTGGAAGTGGACAGACCAGAGCAAACGGAGAGAAGGAACCGGGATGGGAGAGCCAACGCAGAGAGCAGGAGAAAGGCTTTGAAGAATCTATAATTAAACTACAGTGAGAAAAATGCACGTATGAAGAACATTGTGTGTGTGTGTGTGGAAAGGAATCAGGGAGAGTAAACATCAACTCAGAAAGGGAAGAAATGAGAGCCCGGTGTGTGTTTCCAAACCATCCAGCAACTCTCCAGGTCTCAGCAGACACTGACCAGTGTCCTACAATTTAACTAAAACAAATTTGTAGGCCCTGGCGGGGTAGCTCAGTGGGTTAGAGCGTCATCCCAATACTCCAAGGTTGTGGGGTTCGCCTCTGGTCAGGACACATACTAGAATCAACCAACAAATGCATAACTAAATGTAACAACAATTCGATGTTTTTCTCTCACAAATCAATAACAATTTTTTTTTTTTAACAAAAATGAATTAAGGAGCCCAGCTGGCATGGCTCAGTGATTGAGTGTCGACCTATGAACCAGGAGGTGATGGTTCAATTCCCGGTCAGGGCACATGCCCGGGTTGCGGGCTCAATCCTCAGTGGGGGACAGGCAGGAGGCAGCCGATCAATATTCTCTCTCATCATTGATGTTTCTATCCCTCTCCCTTACTCTTTGAAATCAAGAAAAATATATCTAAAAAAAACCACACAAACAAACAAAAAAACTCCCAAGTAGATGGACATGAGCCTCTGGGATGAAAAAGACAACTGTGTGTGTAGATCCATGGGTAGAAAGGTCCACATCAAGGTGTATTGTGACACTTGGCAACACTGAGGATAAAGATAAGATCCTAAACGCTTTCTCAGAGAACAAATATATCCCATACAAATCGTTAGGAATTAGTACGGCTTTAGAGTTTTCAACTGCTGCCTTGGCAG